CAAATTACTAGAAATTGCAATTAGAGTTGTGGAACAGATGACCAGGTAAGAGCAAACCTAAGTATGAAATAAACTGACTTCTAATGAATAGGCAGATATTGCAACGGGTAGCCACAATCACAAGAAAACTAACCTTGACTCTAAAAACAAACATGTCACAAATGCACTGTTTGCACATTATGGTTTATGTTTGCTTTGGCTGCCCCTTATTCCCACCCAATCACATTCTCCAGGGCCTGGACTCTACTGAGCAAGCTTCCATCTGTTCTGTTTGCACACTGGGCCTTCTTTGTCCCGGGTGCAGGATGTGATTCAGGGTGGATGGAGATCACTCCCTAACCCATGCAAATGTACCTCAAAATAGTTTCACTCTGGAAATATTTGTTGACCCCTAATCCATAGTTGGCCCTGAACTATGGATAACTTTGTTTCCTCTCATACTATTTATTACTAGACAGCCTAGGAGTTTGGTAAAACATATTACCCAAATGTCCCTACAATGGGTTACACATTGGTTCACTTTTTAGTCATATATGGAATTGCATTGTCAGTTGAAGAATCCAGTTTTTACCAAGTTAAATATGACAGGGAAATTTTGTTGTGATCAAGATGAGAAGGGAAGTCCTAGAGATGTGGTCGTGAGGGTTCTTGGGAATCAGAATTGCCCATTAGGGCACAGAAAGGGACTTTTGGGTCCCACCCACCTCAGAGGTTTACCCCCCTCACAAGCAGGAGAAAGGTTGTGCTGTGTGAATCTCGTTAAAGTTGAGCCACTATTGGGTGGCTCTGAGCCTGTCCAACATGGAGGTACAATTAGAAAAAACAAGTATCTTTACTGACGTCTCCTGAAAAACATCCAAGGAAATCTGCATTTACAGTACCAGGAACAAACACATCCTAAAATCGACTGTGAGTTGTTCTTAAAGATCGTCAGCTTCTCTTCTTAAACCTCACAGCACTCTGAACAGCAGCATAGATGATTCATTCAATTTCTCCCTCCTCTTTCCTCTGCCTCCCGAGCACGTCACACCACTGACTCCCACAGCTCTCACCTTTGTTCGTGTCACCAAGACTTCTTCCATCTGCAGAAGAGGGGAGACAGTGAAGAATAGAGTGAAGGCAGAAGAAAAGGAGAGTGAATATGCATACTTTTCTTTTACCCACCTTGAATGTATTTGTACCAAACGAATCCTCCATGGAGCAATGTGCAAATAGTTGACTCTGTTTTGAAGGCCTTCTTATTACCCCTTCACTCTTCTTCCTAGTCTTTTCCCCACCGAATCACATCTCCCAGTAGCCTAAGGGACAAGCCCAGGACTTTTGGGAAACATTCATTTTCTTGATTCCTATGAGCTAGAGCTGGAAGTCAAAGTAATTAGAAAGGGCTCCATTTCATTGCATTCTTTCTAGTAAAGCCATTTTCATTCTATTTGCTTTTGGTAAGTTTATACTGATTAGAAAGTCTAGAATCTAATCTGAGAATCTTCACTACTGTCACCTTACCATCCACAGAACAAACAACAATTCTGGTAGCTTGGTTTAGCTATTGTATCCAGTGAGCCATAAGGAGCAATAATTATTTTGGGGGAAAAATATTTGAAAATGTCTTATTCCGTCTTGCTAAACAGTTACCCAAGCTCTCCAGCTAATGATTCAATGTCCCTTTAGCTTGTTTGTGTAGACATGACCACTGTGTGCAATTAACAGACAACTCAGTTCAGTCTCAGGTAAAATGAATCATGGAAAAACATAGTACATGGCTGTCTATATTTTCATTCTGGTTTAGTGAATTTTCTGTGAAAGTCTTGGAAAATAACAATCTCTCAGACAATATCGGACAATGACAGATGTCCAAAAAGTTTGCCAGGTGCAAATGGATTGCATCCATATTGATGAGGAAGGATGTCTTCATGTGGCCCGACACCTTACCTCTAGACTTCATTCTCAGTTATGTGGAGGATGTAACCATCTTGCAGACCCGATTTTCCATTAGGGCTTTTCTCCTTGTTTGTTTTTCATATGCTAGGTGGATCGTTTCTGAGGTTATGGTTTTCAGGTGTTTACATAATATTTTTCATTGGTGTTTTTATAACCTTTCCTGAGACGAGGTTGGTGTTTTGGCTGGTAGTATTGCAGTTGGGAAGCTTAAGACTATCCTTTGAACCATAAAGCATTGAGAAAGCTGATGATGAATATTGAAATATTTTAATTAAACACCCCCAAACAATAAAAAAACAGTATTCATTGGTTAAAACTGTATTCATTGGTTAAAACTGACAAGGTTGAGTCTTTTCATCTCTCTTGGATTTCTGCCTCACCAGTATCCTAAATGATTATAGGAACACATATTCTGATTAAATCTTTAGACCTTTCATCCCCAGAGAAGATTTAGCTTGATGGGATCAACATGAAAGACAAGGGAAAGTAAGACTTCCTTTAATATACAATTGCTTGGATCATTCCCGTCTACAGGTAAACAAGGATATTGTGTCAGGCCTGAAATACGTTCAGCACACCTATCGGACTGGGCTGAAAGGTAAGGAACCTCAACCTTTCCACTCTCAAACTGCTTCTCACTGATACTTCAAATGCTGGTTATTAAAATTATTTAGTCACAGACTCTCACGAGAATCTGATAAAAGCTGTGGGTGCCCACCCTAGGAACAGGAACACAAAACACGTAAAATGTCCCAGATATTATCAGCAAGGACAACATTCAGGATATCTAGTTTAGATAGAGTCAGCCACTGACCTTCACCGCTAAGCTTCTGGACCTGAACTACAATACTCCTATATGGAAAGAGTAACTGAGATAAGTTTAAATGAAATAAAAGAAGTAAAACACAAAAGTTAAAAAAAAAAATAGTTGTTGGTGTCAAACCCAAGTGTCAGACAAATCTAAGAGAAGAAAGGCCTGCACAGAGATATGTGTCTTGGGGTGGGAGTTTCGAGTAGCCCAGGGAGTGAAAGTTCAACTTCCTAACAAAGAAATAGTGAAAAAAAAAATTATTTCCAGGATTTTAAAAAAGCTGCCTAACTAAAAGAAATAGTGGAATAACTTTATTTATTCTGCCATTATTCTCAAGATGTCTTGGGAACATGCCTTTAGATTTCTGTCATTAATCTGACTAGGGAGAAATAAGAGGTGGAAAGGTGAGGAAACACCTTCACAGCTCTTCCACGCCTGTGGGGCTGTCTTCCCCAGAGGTGAGAAGCAGTGAGTCACAGCCAGTTCTACCAAACTGACGGGCAAAACACGCAGGAGCAATGGATAAATCTGCATACCATAAGAACCAATCAGTTACTCAAATCTCAGAGGACTATTGAGCTGAAAGCTATTGTTTGGCCTTTCCATTACCTATTCTTATGGAAAAATAGTTCAGTGTCCTATTTCTTTTGAGCATAGAGACTATCTTGACTGACTTTGGTAAAAGGTCCACATTGTGCCTGTAGCTGTTACTTCCAACTTAACACTTAAAGGCCAACAATGTACCACCTATGTAGCTACTTACCTTAATTAATATTTCTAACCCCAACTACTCTTAATATTTATATACTAGTTACTCACCCTGTAAATAAATTTGATTAGCTATTATCACTATTTGATCCAGTTCTTCACTTTTTTATTTAGGCCAATGTACTTATTTCCCCCTTCTATATATGGGTACTATTCTGAATACTAGTTGTTAAAGTATCTACCTAGCTTTTATGTAAGAGATCCTTAAAGCTCATTATATAGAGGAGGATATGAAAGCCCAAGATGTCACGTGACTTCGTTATAGGGCTGAGACCAGAACTCATGTCTCCCTTTGGGTATTTTTTAACGGTCTAATTTATTACAACTTCATAAACAAAGTTAATCTCCTTAGATTTAAGGCACTGATTCTCCAAATTTCTTATTGAACAGAATCAGCTGTGATGCTTTTTCAAAATACTGATTGTTGGGGCCCACCACAGTCTACTGAACTATAGCCTTTGGGAGCAGAGCAAAAGAAACTATTATTAGAAGTCACTCCAAGAACTGCACCGTGATGTAGCTATCCCAGCCATTCAAAAGGCTGAGGCAGGAGGATCCCAAGTTCAAGACCAACATGGACATCTTGACAAGACCCTGTCTCAAAATAAAAGTTTTCTCAAAAAGGGCTGGGGATGTAGTTCAGCAGTAGAGTGCCCCAGTATTGAGGGAAAAAAAAATGTACTCCAAAAAATTATTAAACAAAAATTTCCTAGGTAAAAAACATCAACCAAGCTTGGAAACTACTGCTCTGGCTTTTAACAATGTGAGCTCCAATCTGCAGTGTGTGTTTTTCTTTTACCAGACTATTACCTTCATGCACTCTCCTTTCTTCCTAGTGGATAAAGCAACGTTTATGGTTGGCAGCTACGGGCCTCGACCAGAGGAGTATGAGTTCCTCACTCCAGTGGAGGAGGCTCCCAAGGGCATGCTGGCCAGGGGCACCTACCACAACAAGTCCTTCTTCACCGATGATGACAAGCAAGACCACCTCACCTGGGAGTGGAACCTGTCCATTAAGAAGGACTGGACAGAATGATGCATCTGCCCATTCTCCCTCCTACCCCTACCACCTGGAAGAATCCTCCGAGCCACATTGATCACCCTGTCCCTCCTTTGTCCCTCACCCCTGTTCACAGCTGGGTCCCTTCTCCAACACCCTCCACTTCCTTATTGATGTATCTTATTCCACGTCCCTAAAGCAGATGAGGCTTAAACTCTGCCTGCTCTCTCTGTGCCCAGCTCAGAGCCACACCTTCCAAGTTCTCCACCTCATTTGATGTTTCCCTCTTATTCCGATTTGAGCAACTAGAGGCCAAAACATTGACAAACTACCGTGACCAGTTCTTCTGCCTTAGGTTTAGTTGCTCATTCCCATCCCTGGATTCTTTTGTGGTTGTAGCTGGCTCAATGAATCCCTCATAATATGTCCTACCGGTTGGGGTTCTTCTTATGTGGGAGACACTGTAAACAACTCGAGAAAGTAAGAATAAAACAACTGTATGTTCAGAGTGAGATCCTCATTTCTGTTTTCTTTATTTAAATAAATGTTTTAACTGAGCAATTCACACTGCAAGTTCTCTGGGGGTGGAGCGGAGTCCATGGTATAGGCAATATTTACATGCTTGGGAACAGACTGGTAGATACAATGGGAAATGTTCGGAACACAGAGTGAAAATCTAAATTTAATGTCCTCCATGAAATTTTCTTATGGCAGTTTCTCCTCACCTTGAGACCTATCTATCCCACTGCCTATGGAATTCTCATTTTGGATTTCACACAGTGGCATACGGGCCAAGTCAGACGTCTCTCTTCTACTCTCTTCACCAACAATGAAGTCGACACTCCTATGCTGAGTGTTCCTACAAAGGCCCTTTCAAGTGGGCCCTAGCATATCTTCCTGCCCACATTTACCACTCCCTCCCTCTCCATGATCCGCAGTGACTAACAATTCTCTCACATGTTATATTTGTAGCCTGTGCTTTGCTCTTGACATGTGACCCCTTTTCCACATGTCATTGCCTGGCAAAATCTTATTTATGCATAGGGTAACATTCATTTACCTTATGAAGTTTTCTCTGCTTTATCACTTTTCATTTTATGTTTAAAGGACTGGTTTATATATCTTTTTCCCACTAACTGGGAAACAGCCATCAGACCATAGTTATCTTTGTATTCCTAGTACTTAAATCAGTACCTGGCATACAGTACTTTTTAAAAATTTAAATGGGTTATTCTGACATTTTTTCTAATTGGCTATGTTCTGAGGCCCTGTCACTATACTCAGTCTTTTATCTCAGAAGTTGAAGTTTCCCCCAGAGGCAGCTGCGAAGTTCCCAGAACACTAGGATCCCCACAGCCAGTTAACTACAGAGTGTGCTGCCCTGAATCCATACCACAAAGCACGGAAGTCTAGGGCTGGTGCCGGAGAAAGACAATGGAAGCCACCCAATTCAGATACCCACTTCTCTTACTTCTTCTCACCTGTGGACTGGCCCCAGAAGTTGTTGCAGAAGTTGAAGAGTCATCAGGTAAAAGATAAAAGCGCATGGTGATCATAAAGTAAGGGTTTTCTTAGGGGAAGGGAAGGGAATGTGATGGTACTCCGGGTACTTTCCTTTTAAACCTGGAACATTTTCTAGAAAATGTTATAGATGTGTGTTGCCTTGAAGAGAAGAGACAAGTATCCTTCATTTAATTATGAATTAAATTCTTTAATTATCCTTCAATTAGGTGAGGTCACCTTCCATATGCCAATAAAAATAATAATCATAAAGCCTTGGAATTATAACAGCATGCCCAGAAATTATATCCTCGGGTTAAGTAGGGAGAGAAAAGGCATATGAGATATCCTCATTATTTAAAGCTGCTGCTTCTCCTCTTCGTGGCCTGACAGTCCTCCTTCCCCTGTGTCCAGGTGATCCCAGTGCTGCCCAGGAGCCAGTGCAGCTCACAGATGTCCCAGCTGCCATGGAATTCATCGCTGCCGTTGAGGTGGCCATCATAGGCTTCTTCCAGGTTTGTGCCGCCACCCCATTGGCTATTCCTCCGTGAGCTGGGCAGCCCTACCTCAAGGGAGTCATCTTTGTGGCCTGCTGGCCAGATGATCCTGCATTAGAAGCATGGGGCCTCTAAGTTTGTCGATTGAATCTTCTTAACTTCAAAGCATTCCATCTCAGCACTATGTCTTTCCCATACTTGCTTCAAGAGCTCTGAGTCTACTGCCTGTCCCTTTATCCATGGATGTTTTGAAGCTAAGACAGTATCTGCAGAAAGAAAGCTTTCATCAAACCCTATTGTAGCCCTAAATGTCCTTAGTCTTCACTCTCACAATACCCTATAAAGAAGTAGGAGCCAGGCAAACCTATATTTTATGATCCCGATAATGCTTTGTATGTGGTGTGCCAAAACCCACAAGCATTAGTCAACAGTTGCCCCTAAAACCTTTCCGCAATTAGGTAGTCCCGTAATCTTTCCTTTGCCTTTTCTGAAATGTCAGAAAACAAAGATGGCTTTATTATGTTGAAGGTGTGAGCATCCATCTGCTAGACTAGGTGCATAGCTGATCTCAGCAGCATGGTGAAGGCTTTATTTCAGCATTCTTCTCTCTCTCTGGCGTAGCACCCGGCAATTCTCTCCACTGACCCAGCCCCTACTCTTGTTACACAGCTGGAAATAGTTGTAATGAGATGTACATGAGACTGGAAGACGAGGAGCACATTTTTGAGGGGTAAGAGATCTGAGCTGTAAAGGAAAGGGGCCCCTCTCAGACAGACAGGTTGGAAGAAAATTGTGCAGTAACTTAAATGGCCAGCAGGTGCCAGCATTGGATCCTTGAACACTATCGTTGGAAAGAACTGACTACAAAGGAGGAAACGCCATTTCACAAATGCCCACCACCTCTAAGGCAATGCACTCACCCTTTCAGAAGAGCCAGGTCCCAGCTTTCTCCACTTGACCCTGGAGGCAAGGCTGGCCATCCTCTTTTCTCCTTGCACAGGAAGCCCAGGGAGACGCAGGGAAGAATGTGTTCATTCATTGCCTGGAGTTGTTATAGGCAAATGTCCTGTGACAGCGGCCAAAATGATGACAGTCTCTATCAAAGGACAGGAACCATCACTCAGAAGTGGTTTCTCTGCTCCCTAACTTTAGGGCTGGTTGCAGGATTGGGTTATGAATATTAAGCTCTTGGAAGAGGGGGACTGTTTATCCACATCTTGCACAAATTCTTGTTAATGAAATTTCCTAAGCTCCAGTTGTAATTTCTTTTATTCTTCCCTCTTTTTTGCCTCTTGTGGCCTGCTTGACAGCACCTACTTCCTATTTTTACATTTCCTGTTTCTTCCACGAACTGTTTCATAACATTTTCCTCTTCAAAAGTATCAGTGACCGCACAGCCCACCTCTGATTTTGAGGCCTCGCTCAGCTACTAGTAAACTTATCATGGGGCTACTGGTGCTCTGTGATAAGGCCAGCCACAAATCTCTCTGTCAAGGCCAGCCACAATTTTTGTAGTATCCTATTAACTTCACAGCTTGAAAAATTCAAAAATGCCACTGCAAATTTAGCCTGCATTCTTAAGAGTAAATCTTGCCTCACTAGCTGCTAAATCAAATCTATGTTTTGGTAGCAGTATGCATATGTCTCTTCCTTATTGTACCCCTCACCCTCCAAAATAATCTCTGTGGTTTTCTTTTCCTCTGTCTTTCTTTCAGGATCTAGAAATACCAATAGTGTCTGTATTCCACAGCATGGTGCAACAATTCCCAGATGTGTCCTTTGGCATCAGCAATGACTCTGAGGTTCTCGCCCACTACAACGTCAGTGGGAACGCCATCTCCCTCTTTCGCCTGGTAAGTCGGGTGAGAAGCTCGAGGCTTCTCTCTGTTTTCCCTTCAACTGTGGACTCTCACACTTGTGCGACTGGAGAGAACTTTACGTGTTTGACACTAATGCCAGTGCCAAGTTCAGGGACGTTATTGACAAGGACGATGACTCCACTCGGGGTTGCCCAACAGGTGGTGAAGGGGAAAGAGCCCTGAACTGAGAAGAGCCGGAGAGTGGGGCTCCTAGAACTACTCGGTTGCTCACCAGCCATGAAATATCGGGCAAGTCACGTAGCGTGTCTTAGCTTCAACCCTTTCATCTATAAAAGTATAGACTACATCATTTTTAAGGCCATTTTAAGCTCTACAGTTTTATATTATTATATTCTAGGAAACTGACTTAGGTTTATCAAATATTTGTTAGACAACTTCTGTCTGCTCTGTGCAAGATATTTATATATAAATAGTTTATACTTATATGTAAATGTCTTAAGTATAAATACTTAATACACCTCTGCTCTCACAGATCTCAAAGTATAGTAGAGCATGTGTATATAATATACAGGCATCTATTAAGCAAACAGCGTCTCTATAGTAAACTGTTACAGGAGGCAAAAGAGAAAATGTGGGTATTGTGAAAACTATGAAAGAGACCACAGGTCTTGGAAGTAAAAAATAGTATTTGGACACTGAAGGATAGTTCATGGACAAGAGGGAAAGTTTTAATTAAGTTAGAGGTCAGTGAACAGGCTAATTTGGATCACACATTAGGAAGACAAAAAAACTTGATTAGAACTATGCTGTGGAGGGGCTGGGGATTTAGCTCAGCAGCACAGTGCCTGCCTGGCAAGCCCAAGGTCATGAGTTCGATTCCCAGTACCGAAAAAAAAAAAAACAAAAAAAAGAACAAGAACTATACTGTGGAAAATGTTGAATACAGCCATCATGGGGTCTGTACTTAATTCAAGTAGCACTGGGGACCCCCAAGGCCTTTAGATTAGGGAAGTAACATGAACAAGAATGTGTTCTAACAGTTTATTTTGGAAACAATGTGTAGGATGGATTATTAGGCAAAAGGACCAGAGAAGATAGAGATTTTGTGAAGCAGGCAAAGTAAACTGTCACCCAATGGGTGAGGCCATTACCAGCAGGCATGGTGGTAAACCACAGAAGGACAAATCCATGTTCATCCTGAGACACATGACCACACTCGCATCTGCCCTTCCCGTTTGGAGAAGCACAGCCACACTATCTCTGCCCCCCCCCAAATTCCTCAAGGCAACGAACTCCTCCCTTCTCCCTTTAAATCTTTTGTTCTACCCTAGCTCTCTGCTGATTCTGAACCCAGCTCACTCCCACCGGAGTGACTAAACAACCATGATTGCTTATACAGAGCTTTCTCAGATGGTCTCTCCCCTCCTGCCCTTAACATATAAACAATATGAAATATATTAAGGGTGCATAGTGAAGAGGCAGCAATAGAAGTTAAAGAAAAGACAGTGATACCTAGGTAAGTTAGATGACTAGCAAGTATTAGACATTGAAATTATGGAACAGCAATAAGTTTTAAAGCCACGCTGTCCAGATACGCTGACAACATGCAGAAATAAGGATTACTGATGCTTTAGTGGTTGTTGAGTTTTCATTGCTGATGGGTTATCAAAGTAATGATGTGATGAGTACACTGAGAATGACAAAAGGAACAAAGGATAATTTTTTAACTTTCTGGATGGAATGACCTTCCCTGCCTATGGCTTGCATCCTTTCTTTCTCTTTGTTATTTTTCATCTAAACTTCTTTTCCATGTATCTTACACTCAGGGCTTCAAAATTCTTTAAAATGGACACAGCTACCTAATTTATGCCACACAGCTCCATTAAAACTACGCTGATTCAGTTCAGCACAGCTTCTATATTATAAGCTCAAAGAACTGCTTGAAGGTCTTATTTTGCTCAATAGTTTTGCCAGATTTGCCTGTGTTGGTTGATATTATCTGTAATATGCTTTATTCTAGAATTCTAGAATCCTCATTTTCTTTTTTTTTTTTTTTTTAGTTTTTCTCTGGTACCAGGAACCGAACTCACGACCTTGCGCTTGCCAGGCAGGCGCTTTTGCCGCTGAGCTAAATCCCCAGCCCTAGAATCCTCATTTTCTTGATTCTCTTCTTGTTCTCTTAGTCTCCATGAGACCTGCTCCCTTTCAGCTGCCTGATGCATGCTTCTCTCTAGCCATGTTGTGGAACCTGTGCTCTGCGGAGGCACAGACTCTTCCCTTCACAGCTGTAACTTCGGGGCCTAGAACAGTGCCTGCCACAGAGCAGCACACGTAGCTGGTGCTCATGCAGCATTGGTTGAAAATGAATGTGTGAATGAATCAATTCATGAATGAATGTGTTGTCTTTCAGCAATATAATTCTTTCTCATAGTTGACTATTTTGTGTTTGTTGAGGACTTGGAATATTTTATCTATAGTCTGGATACCTCTAAAGATTCAAATGTTTACTGGATATAACCATTTTTATGCCATCACAAGCACTCTTAACATGTTCAAAATTGAATTTTTTGTCTGCACCTGCTAAATCACCCCTCCATCAAATGCACTATTCACTATTTTATTGAATGGCTATGATCATTCAATCTCTTGTTTTTGCCAATTTTACCTCCTATCTTGAATCAATATTCCTTGCCTCTTTCTACTTCATTTACCATAAGCTTTTAGCATCATTAGCATAAGCAATTCCAATTGCTTGACTGAATTCCCTTACCATTTCAGATCCACTTTCTAGACTGGTACCCTATAATGTAGTTAAGAGAGAAATTTGGCATGACATTTTTCTCTTTAACTTCCTCAATATTTCCCATTACTTACAAGATCAAAAACATGATTTTTATTATTATATACAGTCTTTTCAGAGCTGGCCACTGTCTGATTCTCTAATCCCTTTCCCAGGCAGTTTCCTCCTTGAGGTTTTATCTTCTAAATACCCAGCTATAACATCCTGGTCAACCAGTTTCATGACTCCTAAGCTCTTCCTTTTACCCAGAATGCCACTGCCTTCGAATACCCTTGGCTGCCCAGCCTCACCCAGCTAACCTCACCCAGCTAACTTCTTGTACGTACTTTGGTGAGTCATTTGACGCACCTTATCCCCCAGAACATTTCACTGGAATCCACAAACTGGCCTAAGTATTTCTCTACACTTCCATGTCTCTATTTTCATTTATCACTTTATAGTGGACATAATGTATTTATGGGTCTATCGCATCTGTAACTCCATTAGACCATGAGCTACTGAAGGTCAGGAACCGTAGCTTATTCATCTTGGTAATCCATGGGTCTGTGATATGTCCAGGCACCTAGAAGGCACACAGAAAGTGTTTGGGAAGCTGAGCTCATCCTCCTAAAACATGTCTGAAGGTGCAAGGACACATCTCAGCAATGGTTCCCCACCTGCACAGTAGTGCTGGCTTGCATTTTCACTGTTGAGAAATAAGATTAATCTAGCCTTTCTGTGAGATGTTCTCAGACAGATGGAGAAGTTCAAACTAATGCCTTTTATGTCTCTGTTGAACCACAAAGTTATCCTTCAGTCCAAAATTCCTCATCAGCTACAGCTTCATGGGTACTTCTTTCCAAGTTTCTACTTAATAGAGCCAAAGACTGACTTAAAAGTCTTGGTACCAACAAGATGCATATGTGTGGGAGAACAAAAAGGGTTCTTGCTTCAAATATCCCTTTAGATTTAACAGTCTTTAATGGGAACGTTAGCTCTGCAAATAATTTATTCTTTATAAAGTTTTGTTTGACTTTATAAAGTCAGAGCTCTCCACTCTTGCTTAGCATCTGTTCTTTATTTACAGCTTGTGGCAGAGCTACTCTGACTGCACTTCTGGGACCTCAGTGGACAAGTCTGTTTATGTTCCATACCAAAAAACAAATACCCTGGTTCCTGGGCCACTTTACTGGCAGGGCCGGGTGAACCTCAATTTAGGTCATGCCAGCTTCTAGATAAACATTTTTTTCTCCATTTACATTTCCAAAAGTTTGTACATATTTTGATAGGATTATTACTCAAGACTTTAGAATAATATTTTTGAAAAGGGTACAACAACCGAGACCATTCTATTTTGTATTGGGAAACATGAACCTACTGCAAAGTTTCTGGTATTTTCCTTCATCTTAGACACATAGTTGATTGCCTTTGGGTGTGTGTGTGTTTGTGTGTATGTATGTCCATGTCTAATTCATGGTAGATGCTATTATAATTCCCACAAGAATCTGACTCAGTTCATACTAATCCAGCATTTTCAATACAGAAAATAGTGTTCTATGAGGTCAATCTAGCTGTCTAGTTTTATAACTATGAAGTAACCAAAATCTGCTTCCATACCCAGCATTATTAACTGACAAACATACCTTTTCTTCTGTATTACAGCGGCTTTCTAAAGGACTTACACCTAATGAAAACCTTTATTCTTACACTAGATTCTATCTACTGTAACGTCCCTTATTCTTATTCTAAAGTCAACATTTCTTTAAACCACTATCCCCTAATCCATTTTCTTTATCCCCCTTGGCATTAATTGATCAAACCCCAGGATTATATCTCAAGATTTAATCAAAACATTATATATTTTGACAAAGGAAATTTCAAAACAAGGCCACCAACGCTGTATTTATGAAATATATCATTCTCCAAAAACAGTGAAGGCAGACTTATAGAAATGTTTTCAGGAAGATTTTAAATAAAATGCAGGGAACAAATGTACGCTGGGCAGGACACATATGTGCTGGAGGTGACACTTGCCTCTGAATCAGACAAAGGAGGGGATCTCACCTTTACTTTCTCCTGGAGGACTCTTGTTGTTGCCCTAATAAGAAAGTAATCCCCGGAGTGAAAGAACTATGAACCTGTCCTCAAACAGAATTTCAAGTATTATTTGACTGTTTACCGTGTTTTGGCTTTCTCAGTCACTTAGAAATATAATTAGCTTAGCCTAACTTTGACTCAGGAGGATAGCAGGGGAAACACAGCCAGTCATTATTTCTTTTACAGTTATTTATTGGGTGCCAGTTATAAAAAAATGAACTTACCAGACAAAGAGAACTGGAAGGAATTTATATATAAAAGCAAACTGCTAAGAAACAAAATAAGCAATATATACCAAATTATTAAAACTTTTTTCTAAATTGTATATTTATCAAATATGCTTTAAGCTGATCAGTGTTTAAAAACAAACCCTGGGCCATAGAGGCAACTGTTTAACAAATATTCCGGTGCCATGGAAGGTATTTAGTATTATAACTAAAGAATTGAGATTAGTTATTTATATGTAGCAACTTCCCACAATGCATGTAATCCTTATGTACTGCAAACATACACAGTACTAATAATGAAAATGAAAAAAAGAACTATAATGTAAACTAACATGATCTTTCACATATTTTCTGAAAAACTGGGGTGTTAGAGAAATCCATAGAAATTCACAGAAATATTGTTCACAGAGTGAAGGACAGAAAGGGAGGGATTAAATGTCTTGGTATGATATACTATCAGAAACAAAAAAAATCCACTTTGGATAACTCAACCGGGAACTGTAAGGGGGCAACCTTCCCGTTTACTGCTTCTGCTTTTTTTTTTTCTGATATCTCTTTCCTTGGGTAGAAAAATAGAAGGATATCTTAACAAAACTCTTCCCAAATATTTGAAAAGTATATTTTTTGAAAAATGTTCTCAACCCTTGGGTTTCAGGGTCCGATTTTCCTTCCAGTGCATTATGCAAATAATTCTCTTCACAGAAGGCAGATTTCCTGTTCAAATGCTGCTTCCAGGAACCTTACACATAAACGTTCCAGGATTTACTAAAGAACATTGAAATAATTGGGCATTTTTCATTAAAAGGAGCACGGCAGACTCGAGAGACCGCAGGAGGGTGGTTTCTATCAAAGCTCTCTTGCTGCTTAGATGTTATCGCGGCTTCCCAACCTCTGCCTCCCGGTGCTCTAAGTCCAGAAACACCTGGAGTCGCTGGCACTTCCTGCTGCCTCTTCTGGGAAGTGCGAGGAGTTGCCTGGAAAAGGGAGGGGAGGGAGGGGCCACCTGGCCCACAGCATAGCTCAGTCCACTGAGGCACAGGCTCCTGGCCTGAGTTCCTAGAAAAATAGTCAGGAAGTGTTTAGACATACTTGATATTAAACGCGCCCTGACTGTGATTGTAATAGTGATGATTTTGGTGATTGCAACAGCAAAGCCTTAAGTATGAGGGAGCTGTGCCAGCTGGCAAACCAGGCTTTTAACAGCAGTACAGATCCAGAAGAGCCACAGATACTAAGTTTTTTTTTGAGTGTTCGCTTATTTCCCCACTCATTCTTAATAATCTGGGATGAAAGGGACTATGAAATCAGGCCAGGATGCTGCCTAAGACTTTCCCTTGAGTTTATATTTCTTTCCCAAGTTTTCTACTAGAACTTTGTGAATTTTAATACAATTATATAGACAAAGGGACTTCATATTTTAAAATATTCTGTGGTTTGGATGATTTTGTTTCTTCAAAATTCTGTTTTTGAAATACAAACGTTTTCTGTGCCTCAGCAATAATTTCATAAATTTAAATTGTGTAAGAGTCCTAAAACAAAGAGCACCTAAATTGTTGTTCAAGTAAATGTCAATACCTCTGTGCCTCAATGCCTAAGATATAGTAGGTGCTCAACAAATAATCCTCAAATAAATAGATCATGAGAGAATGACTTGTTCAATTTAGGATTAATAAAATTAACCAGAAGGGGTGCCTTGACCTTTTCTGAGGTTCATGTTGCCTTTTTTTCAACCTAACAGAAGGTCATCTGGAAAAATAGTGAAAGATAGATAATAGGGGTTATCATGAGGATGACTGAGGAGCAATCTTTGATTCTTTCTACTTAGCAACTTAGATTTCCCTTTGCCAGAATTCTCTTCTACACAAACTAAAATGAGATTTACCTCTAACTTCCTGGGTCAACTAGAAAAATTATCTTGGGATAAAACTGTGATTCTGATCCAAGGCAAGATCTGCCTGGGTAGAGACTGTAAGAGACAGCAGAGGTAAGGGGAAAAGACTAAGCAGGAGTTCAAGGATCTCAAAATTGTACAGGGGTCTGCCTTCATGTTTTTATCTGTGGGCATACTTGCTATGGGTGATAAAGCTGTATCTGCTTTTCAATATAGTAGGGAGGAGAATGGTTACCTCAAGAATAATGATTAAAGTTATGAGGTTCTATCTTTTAATGTATTAGAGTGCGTTACCCCGTTTTCTGTGACAAAATAGCTGGGATAATGAACTTAATATGGAAGAAGCTTCAGATGTTTCAGCCCATGGACAGCTGGTCTGCTGCTTTGGGGTTGTAGCAAAGCAGGACATCATGTCAGGAGATGAATGGTACAGAAAAGCTCCTCGCCTCATGGCAACTGGGAAGCAAAGAGAGAAATGGGAAGTTACCAAGGTCCCAATATCCCCTCAAGGGTGCACCTCCAATGACCTAACTTCCTTCTACTAGCCTCACTCCCTGAAGTCCCACCTCCTCCCAGTGGTCTTGCAGGCTGACAGAGTCTTCAACACAACAGGCTTCTGGTGAACATTCCAGGTCCAAGCTACAGCACCACGTATGGTGGAAAGTTTGTTCTAAAACACAAGTCCAGGAAAATAACTTTCATGCCAGCTTTGGGTCCTAAAGAGCTGTCCTAAAAACAGGGATGAAACGTGAAGACAATGTGTCTCGGTTACTTTTTTCTCAATCCTGGGACAAAATACTTGACATCCAAAATTAAGGAAGGAGGGGGCTGGGGATTTAGCTCAGCGGCAAAAGCGCCTGCCTGGCAAGCGCAAGGTCGTGAGTTCGGTTCCCGGTACCGGAGGAAAAAAAAAAAAAAAAACAAAATTAAGGAAGGAAAGGTTTATTTAGCTCACAGTTTGTGGAGGTTTCAGTCCATAATCAGCTGGCTCCAAGGCAGGGTGGCATGGTAGAGGGCAACAGTTGACTTTGGCAGAAGACAGCAAAAGCAACAAGAGCAAAAGAGGGGGAGAGTAAGCCTCTTTTCCTCCCTTATATTGTATGCAGGCTACCCACACTAGGGTGGGTGCAGCACTCACACCATCTCCATGCCCTCCTCTTGCACAGGATGAGGATGTATGCAAAGTGAGGCCCCTGGCCCCCTGCTGAGTCACTTAGTTAAACTTCTAAATTTCTCAAGTTGACACAATGAACAACATCCTAGAGTCAGGATAAGGGTGTGTCCTTTATACCTCAGGATATACTGAGTTACTGAGGTAAGCTTTTAGACTTCTCAAGTTGACACAATGTATCAACCATCACACAAGGGCTGCAACACAGTGCAAATTTCAAGCGTTGGGGTGATGATGAACCAGTAAGCACACTTGCATGTACACAGCTATATATGCATATGTGATATGTTATGATCCATGCTTAGCCATGTCCTAGCATATTATTTGGAAATAAAAAGAAGAGAAAATCTTAAAGGAAGTTAAAAAAGGAGAGAGGGAGACAATTACCCTCAAAGTCACCTCCAAGGGACAGAAATAAGGGTCACAGCTGACCTCTCAATAAAAACAGTAGAACAGGGAACACAAAGTATTATGTCTTTCAAACTCTGAAAAGAAATAACCAATTTAAAAATTCTATCACCAGCAAATAAAACTTTAAAAATAAAGTTGAAATAAATATATACATTAAACAACCAAACTGAGAAAATTTATCACTTAGCAGAGCTAATTTATACTAAAGGAATAAGTAGAGAGAAAAAACTCCCAGGGAAGAGCTCAAAAAAGCAGGAAGGAAAGAAGAGAAGCTAAAATGTAAACATGTTCATAAATGAAAATGCATGCTAACTATAGAGCAATAATGATAATGTCTTCTAAGATTTAGAAATAAATCAAACAATAATAATGACCCATAAGATGAAGGAACAGAGATAAAAGAAAACAAACTGTGTTTGAAATTCCCTAATTCCAAAAGGAGGGTGACAGTGCCAATTAATATTAGATTCTGAAAAGTATATGCTGTAGAATGCATGCCAGCAATCTCTAAGAAAATAATTAAAGCTTGTGTAACTTTTGAGACAAAAAGGTGAGGGGCCAGTTCAAAAGTGAGCCAGGAATAAAGAAAACTGGAATTTGAAATAGGCAAAACCAATGGAAAAATGCATAATTCAATATAGTAGTAATTGCGTTACATAAAAATAACCCTTAGAAGATAAATCTCCTCAAAGGCAGGGAATGTTCCTCATTTACTTTTCCATCTTTGGAGTTTTCTCAGTTCCTGTCATACATGGTGATCTAATAACATTTTTCAATTACTGAAAAAAGGACGAGCAGTGGCAACTTCATCTTTTTGTGTGTAACTAGGTGGATAATGAACAACTGAAGTTAGAAGGTGAAGAGATTGAAAACATGGATGCCACCAAATTAAGCCGTTTCATTATGAGCAACAGCCTCCGCTTCGTGACAGAGTACAACCCCATGGTAAGCAGCAGTCCCTGATGCCAGCCTCTGAAGTCCATGTGTCGGGGAGGATGCTTATCTTCCTCTCCTCCCAAACCACTGATCTATCATGATTCACTGTCTTAATTGACACCTAGTATTACCTTTGTTACTACAACCCTTTAGGTTGGTGGATTTGTAGCTACTCAACAAAGAAAAAGGAAGTTAAATGACTTACTATACAACTAACAAGAAACAGAACCAAAATGCAAAGTGAAGGGAACTGACTCAAACACTTCACAATTTTGCTCCTTGGAAGTGCTTAGTAAAAACCTGAGCAGTTCTCTAGACTCTTTCTCAAACTACTGCAGTCAATACTGAAGCTCAGTTTTTTCCCCCTAAAGCATTAGTGCCTAATACTTTTATAAAATGCAGTAGAAATAAATGACTACACAAATGAAATTTTTAAAGAAATAAAACCCACTGATTATATATTTCTATGTCATAGCTTTGTAACATTTTCTATAAAAGTTTCTAATCGTCTGTTCTTATTTCTGTGTATATCACTTCGTGGATCAGTAACGCCATGTGCAAGCCATGCTCTGACCAGCACGTGCCCAAACTTTCATGCTGCCTCAGTCTTTGGCCCGGGTCTGTCATCCCTTAGGGTTGAATGCTGTAGGACACATGGATGAAGGTGTTGGTCTACTTGTCCAGGTCATGTCTGGCTTTCTAATACTCTATAACCTACAGAATTAATTTATAATCCTGCCTTTTACTTTCCTGAACATGATCATAGACTGATTAATTTCTAGTGATGTACATCAGCTCAGCAATGCTGTGCATCCTCTGATAAAAGTACTGAATTCTATTCATTTCTCATTTAACCCTCAGATTATTTGTTTTAGGTTGAAGAGAAGAAATTATTGTGTCCATTTTGTAGAGGGGAACATTCAAGACTCCAGTGACATTATTCAAGGTCCCATATTCCAAAAACAGAAAAGGCATAATTTAAAGCACAACATTAGGCTGATGACACATTAGGCTACCTTGTCTATTTCTGTCTTATAGTAGAAGAAATGGGAGTTCAGAAAAGCTCGGCAGCTTCCCCCAGGCCATACAGCTAGCAATCTGAGCTTTAGAGATAGCCTCTGCCCTCGCCCCTGTTTGTCATGACCCATCTGTGTGGTTTGATGCTCTGGTTTTTCTATTCTTCACACAATGTTCAATTGAAAAAACACACCTTGTCCTTGTCCTGTTCACTAAATTCCTGTTCATTTCTTATACCACATTTAGCTCTGCAGAGTGGCAACTCCACTTCCACTTTAACAGATCACACTCACACACACATACACACACACACACACACACACACACACACGGACAGCAGTAATCAAGATGACATTCTTTGCCTAGACCATTGTCATTCTGGTCCTGGTGAGCTTTCCAGAGTGTAATGAGCCCCAGAAAAGATGATCTTATTATCCCTGGGTAATTGGTCATCACGAAATGGAATCCCATAGGCCACCAAGAGAGGTCATAGACCTTCTTGAGTTCTTAGGCTTGGCCCAGCTGTCATCTCACACAACAATGATGAATTTTTTTAAAGTTCCACATTATATGGTAAATGGCATCAACAGGCAAAGAGGTAACAATTTCTTTAGAGAAGTAAGTTTGGCCTTTACTGCAAATTTAACTCCTCCTAAGTACTAATTTTCTCATGAGGACAGTGACCCACTCTGCGCTAGCTATGTCTCATCTGCTGCAAATGCAGAGGTTTGCAGAAAATCACAACTATGCCCTTAGCTGCCAGGCACTTTCAATGTCCACACTCAAGACTTGGCTTCAAGATGAAAACTCAGGCTGCGTCTGTCAGGACTAAATGAATATGCTATTCAATCCCTTCTGTAAGGCGACTATACCTCTTGATGTCTTAGCTCTTATCTCCTGACTCATCCTAAAAATTATGTTTCATCCCTGCTTTAGAAACAGGATCTAGTAAAACGCAAGTCAATTGTTTATTATCCAGTCTCCAAAATGTAAAATCTTTTAGCAGACATATTTAGTGAAAAGCCCATTGAGTCTTCCTTGGCTCCATAATGGTTCCTTGCAGCCAATGATGCTGTTGAGTCTCTACAGAGAGCACATGGCTTCAGAGAGAATCCTACCTAGAAATCTCCAATCCTACTCTCCTGGGAACCTAATGCTATACATCGGCTTAGAAATGCTGTGCTAGGGTCCAGTGGCCAGTGATCCATTATATTCTCCCTTCCTGTGTACACGCAGATTTTACAGCAATGCTTTCTGTATTTAGGAGAGACTAAAAGCATTAGGAGTTTCTTGTAATACATTTGCAGCACAGTTTGAGGAAAGTGAAAAGAAGGGAACTAGTGCCACAGCTGAAAAATTCTTTCTCTCCTCTCTTTCCTCTGGCTCAGGGCTGCCCCACTCTAAATTGGTGACATCTGCACAATGGGTCCCATCTTTCATTAGCAGAGAAGAACCAGTGTTCTGATTTTCTGCAGAGCTCACGTTCACACTGAGCTGAGGTAGACTATGGCAGCCTCACCCAGGATTGAACTAATTTACATGGGGCTTTGACATCTGTCCCACTGGGCAGCCCCTTTGTGACCAGGAGCTTGGATTCTGGCACCAGACTACCTAGTATTAGTCACAGTTATGTAACTGTGATAGTTACAACCTATCTGTGCCTCAATTTCCTCATTTGAAGAACTGAGACCCTGGGGGTTCAATTAACTATAGAATATAAAGAGCCAAATACAGTGTAATAAACACACCACAATAAGTATGCTGGAGTCAAATGTAGTCAAAGGCCACATTTTAAATGTCTCTCTCTGACTAGTCTTGCAACATAAAGAGGAGTTGAAAAAATGACTAATATGTTTCATGATGTATGAGCTGACTATTGCTGTGTAACAGATTACTCCAAAAGTTAGCAGCTTAAAATAGTAAACACTGATTATCTCATGCAATGTCTGTGGGTCAGCCATCTGGGAGTGGTTTGGTCAGATGCTTCTGGTCTAGCATCTCTAGAGAGGCTGTAGACACTGGTCAGGGCTGCAGGAGCTGGAGGAGCTGCTGCCAAGGACTCTCACTCATGTGGCTGAAGAGTTGGTGCAGCTTTTGCCACGTGAACTGTTCATAGCACTACTTGAGCACCCCCACACTGGGGCTGACTTTCCTTGGAGTGAGGGACTCATGTAACCTTGGAAGTCATACCCCATCATTTCTACAACATTCAGTCCAGCTCTATAGTGTGTGAACAAAGGATCTATACATGTCCATGGAAACAAGATGGGGAAACTTCGAGAGCTAATCTCATTTTGTGTTACTATGGTCTGTTTCAGTCTACCTATTTATTACATTATCACTAATATCCCTCTCTCTCTCCCTCCCTCTCTTTCTCCCCTCTGTGACTCTCCATCTCTCCCTCTCTCTCTGTCTCTCTTTCTCTGTCTCTCTTTCTCTCTGTGTGTCTCTCTCCGTCTCTCCCTCTCTCTCTGTCTCTCTTTCTCTGTCTCTCTTTCTCTCTGTGTGTCTCTCTCCGTCTCTCCCTCTCTCTCTGTCTCTCTTTCTCTGTCTCTCTTTCTCTCTGTGTGTCTCTCTCTGTCTCCTATCTGTCTCACTATCTCCTCTCTCTGTCTCTTCTCTCTCTATCTCTCTTTCTCTCTGTCTCTGTCCTCCCTCTCTTCCCCCACCTACTTCCCTCCCTCCCTCTGACTCTGCTATAACACATTTCAATTTGCCAGACAGTGTTAGGCCTATTTAATGCCATGGTTGAGATTCACCTTCTTCTGATGATGAACAAGGCTTCCCCGGAGTATGAAGAGAGCATGCGTCATTACCAGGAGGCAGCCAAGCTCTTCCGGGGGAAGGTGAGTTAGGCATGGGAGCATCTTTGTTCAGTGCACATGACCAAGTCACTAGAAAGAAGGAGAAGGTGGGGCAGGAAAAAGAGGTGAGTGAAGAAAATAATTATGGTTATGAGATAACAAAGAAAGAACTGGACATAACAAGACACCGTTTTCAATTTAAAATGTGTTTGTACTACTAAAGGCCTATACAAAATCTCCTCATGGTAGTTGACTATTATATTTTTCTGCATTGATAGATAGCAAAAAAATATGAACAAGAAGATACTGAAAATAAAATCACCTATGACTCACAGTTTGTTTACTGCTTGCCATAATCTTACAATTTGGAGCAGATGTCAGGGCTTATTTCTCATATAAACACCTATCACATACTTGGTACTTACCAGATAGCCAGTGAATATTTATTTCTTCTCCTTCTCTCTTTTGTGAAGTTTTGTTTTCTGTCAGTGAAACAGTAAAACTCTGCCTGGCAAGCGCAAGGTCGTGAGTTCAATTCCCGGTACCGGAAAAAAAAACAAAAACAAAAAGAAAAGAAAAATAGAAACAGTAAAACTTCAACAATGACATGGCTGCTGCATTGAACTAGAAACTTTTTACTGATGAGAACAATCTGACCATAAAATAAGCTGCTTTTTTGAGGATTGGTTTTCAACCCTGGAAATGCTCAGTGCTATTGAATGGAGATAATCCTCTGCCTAGAATATTACCAAGATTTCTACTTTGGGTAGAAGGTTTGACTTAAAAACAGTCTCCCTTTATCCATAGATCCTATGGTTTTAGTTATCTACAGTCAATGGTCTAAAAGACCTCAGGATCAATAGAACAGATTAGAAGATGCAGACACAACTACAAACATACTCAGACACCTTGTCATTGATAAAGGGGCCAAACATATTTACTGGAAAAAAGATAGCCTCTTTAATAAATGGTGCTGGAAAAACTGGCTTTCCACATGCAGAAGACTAAAATTAGAACCATGCTTATCACCATACACTAAATTAAAGTCAGAATGGATCAAAGATCTAAACATTAAAATAGAAACACTAAATCTACTGGAGGAGAAAGTAGGTAGAAACCTTGAAGACACAGGGGTAGGCAGAGAGTTCATAAAAACAAAACTTCATGGGAAATACTTCAAAGAATAAATAAGTGGGATCTCATCTTATTGAAAAGTTTTTGCACATTAAAAGAAATCACCAACAGAGTAAAAAGAAAACCCACAAATTGGGAAAAAATTTTATCTGACTGTCCCTTAGGCAACGGACTTCTGTCTAGAACATATAAAGAATTTTAAAAAATCAGACTCCCAAAATCCAAAGACCCAATCCAAAAATGAACATCTGAGATGAATACACACTTTTCAGATGAAGAAATACAAATGGCAAATAAATATATGAAAAAATGCTCAACATCATTGGTTATTTAAGAAATGCAAATTAAAACAATACCAAGATCCCATCTTACCCCAGTAAGAATGGCTTTCATCAAGAAGTCAACTAATAACAAATGCTGAAGACACTGCGGGGGGGAGAAAGGATCCCTTCTCCACTGTTGGTGGGAGTGTAGACTAGTACAACCACTATGGAAAACAGTCTAGAGATTCCTCAAAAAACTAGGATTAGAGGTCCCATTCAACCCAACTATTCCCCTTCTGGATATTTTCCCAGAAGAACTGAAAACATCATGCCACAGCGATACATGTGCACCCATGTCTATAGTAGCTCAATTTGTCATAACTAAATCTTGGAAACAACCCAAATGTCTAGCCACTGAGGAATGGATAAAAAAAGATGTGGTGTTTTTATACAATGGAGTATTACTCAGCTATAAAAAAAAAAAAGATAAACTTGAGGCTTTTATAGGTGAACGGGTGCAACTAGAGACCATACTCATAAGTGAAATAAATCAGACCCACACATATAAACATCATATTGTCTCCTTAGTGTAAGAACCTAAATTCACTAAATTCTGACTTCTTAAAATTAAATAAATCTGACCAAAGAAAATAAAATACCAAACCAAAGCAAAATAATAAAAAGCTTATATTAAGAAAACTGATATTTAAGTTATGGGGCACAGACCATAAATTCAAGCAGTGTAAACTCCAACACTTATAAGGTATCTCTTTATCCCCAGGACCTCAGCTAGATCTTTTCCTTTCAAACTTCTCCAAATGCAGGTTCTCTTTGTTCTGGTGGACAGTGGTGTAAAGGAAAATGGAAATGTGATATCATATTTCAGACTAAAGATGTCTCAGCTGCCAGCTTTGGCTATTTACCGAACTCTGGACGATAAGTGGGATACCCTGCCCATAGCGGAAGTTACAGTAGATCAGGTGCAAAACTTCTGTGATGGATTCCTGAAAGGGAAACTGTTGGTAAGTATGAGACTACAAGAAAAGCAAGTTGCATTTTGCTCTTCTCTCTATCTCTTTAACTTCTTGTTAAATGGTTCTTTAGTCTCTGCTAAATTTAATTAATAGCATAAGGATATGAGGATATTGTGGTCAGAGTCAAGGTGCTTGTGAGCATATAGTTATGGGAATAGAACTAGAAAATCAGTTTTGGAAAAGTCTTGTAGTTTAGTCATTTTCTCATTGCTGAGACATAATACCTAGCATCCACAACTTAGAGGAGGAGAGGCTTAGTTTTCAGAGCATTCACGCTATAGCTGGTTTGTTCCAAGATAGAAATGGCATGGTGAAAGCTCACAGTGGAAGAAAGCTGCTCAACCCAGAAAGCAGAAAGAGAAGGGAAGAACTGGGGACAAGAATACGTCCTTTTAGGTCACCACCCCAGTGACCAACATCCCACCTCTTAACATCACATTCAGCCCTGAATTTAGTGGATTAATCCACTGATAAGAATGGCGCCCCCATGATCCACTCACCACTCCACGATCCAACAACCCCACCTGACTGCATGAAACTTTTGTGGACACGCTAGATCTACACTGACTTTTCGCCTACTCATAGGAACCAAAATCAAGATTGTGCCATTTTGGTCAAAATATAATGGGGAACAAATCAAATCCCATGTTAAAGAGTTCATGATATAAAAACTGAAGATGAATTTAGGACTTCTGGGAGTAAACACATGATTTAGTTTTATAAACTCAAAAAAAAGAAAAAAAGGATTCCAAATCTGACTATCAGTGTTATGTTGTTTTTCAGGAAGAAAGTCATAAATCAGAAGAAAAGACTCCAAAGGAAGAACTCTGACTTCTCCCTGATGTTTCTGCTTATTACTACATATCTGCTTTATGTTGAATAAAAAAGGGGAAATTCAAGCCTCAGAGATGCTAAACAAGAGGATCACCAGGCCTTCCAACCACACACACACACACACACACACACACACAGAGAGAGAGAGAGAGAGAGAGAGAGAGAGACAGAGACAGAGACAGAGACAGAGAGAGACAGAGAGAGAGCTATTTTGTTCCTTGAAATCTCATTGCCTTTATTTTTAAATTTCCTGTACTCTGTCACTACCACTGAATTTCCTCTTGTGAATGCATACTATTTAGTCCCACCATCTTCAATGGAGGCTTTGGAGATAGTATGATACCTCTATGAAGGAGAGCATTCCTAGAAAGAGATTGTTCTAATGTGTCCTTAACGTTGAATTTGTGGTTTACACAACATAGCTTGTGCTCGTTTGGGGTTATCTAAGGATTGAAATTCTACCTCCCTTCATAAGCACATGTCCCTCTCTGACTCAGGGCCAAGAACAAAAGGGTGGTTTTAAACTCTTTTCTGAAACTGTTTCTTTTGCCAGAAGTTAAATGATGTCTCCAAGTTTCTTAACTCGGCAGACACAGACAGTGTAAAAACTGTACGCTTGTTTAGCATTTCCAATTCCCCATGAAGATCAACAACCCACACAATAAATAGAACTCAATAATGTTATAGGAAGAGCCTGGCACCTCTTCGCAGTCCAGCCCTTCTGTAAATATCCAGCTGCCCAAGTGTGTTGTGTGCACCTCGCCATTCGGTGCTAGCTGCTTAGGATTAAGCACAAGCCACTAATGTGTTTCTGTTCACTCCCTGGGTGGGATGGGTGGTGGTTCGAAACCAGCCTATGTGAGGATTAGTACAAATGTGGCCAAGGAGCTAGGAAGTCAACTGCCTAAAAGTTTGGGGCATGGGTAAGGAGAGGGGTGCCCGGCAGTGGGGCAGGCTGAGGCTGACTGAACCGTGGATTGTTGCAGATGAGGTGTGCAGTCCAACTCATGTGGCATGCAGGGAGAGTCTGGCTCAGAATCTCTGGCTCACAGGCTCTTACTGTCCACACACAGATGCTACATTGTTCCCAGGAGGCCCTTGGCTCCGAAGAAAAGTGCCTAAGTGCTGAAGAGCTGAAAAACCACAGATGTGCACATCAGGGCTGGTCCAAGTGAGGAACAGAGAGTGAAAGGCTTGGTTGTTCCTTTCCTGGGGAAAACTCCACAGCCTTGGGCGGGGAGTCAGCTTCTGCCGATGGGACTGTCACAGCAGCAGAGTGTGGCGTGCCTCCAGGTACCATGCCAGCCAAGGAGCTAAAGGGTCATACAGTCCATCCCTGGTTACATAAAGTCATCCCAACAGCTGAAAAATATCCCTAGGACAGGCACATACCAAAAGGCTCCCTGAGGTGCTGTAAACCAGAGCCCTTGACATCGAGAGTCAAGAATTATTCCTGATGTTCAGCTGAGATCCTCCAGCCATGCAAGCTGTTTCTTCCTACTACCTTCCCTGGAAAGGTCTGACAGCTGCCAGTCACCATCCCTGAAAGGCATCTTCAACAAACCTTGCTGACTGCTCTGCAGCCCTTCATCTTGTCTTCTTTTCTCCATACTCACAATCTTATCATTTATTAAGTATCCAAATCATTTGGTTCACATGTTTTCCTCTCCCCTAACTTTCCCAACGTTTCCTCTTTTTTGCTTAAAGTAGCAGGACTCCAAACTTTAGTAGGATCCGTGAACTAGGTTTTTTGTTCAATACTAAGTTAATTTGTCAGTTATTTGACTTGAACTGCCCTCACCCCTGACACCTACAGTCAATGCTGACCAGCATTGGTGTAACACCCCAACAATATATTTTGTTGCTTGAAGACATTCAATATAAATATAAATTTATTATGTATCCCTTGTATTTTTATTTGTTTGTTTCTGATATTGAATAGAATTATTCCTTCCCAGCTTGTGAGTGCAAAACTACCAGGTACTTTTTTCTGGCTTCCTTGCTGTGCCATGCCTGTGTTTTGTAGCTCTGGGGTGTCATAACCAAACGGAAGTTCTTCAGAAAGAAGAGATTTCTAAAGGTTCTCACCCATGCGCTAATGATCAGACCTAGTATGTTAAAATTCTGCAATTTCTAGCCCCTGCTCTGACTTTGGGTAAACTCTTCCTAAGACTACATTCCTCATCCCAAGGCCATACTATTGTCAGAATATTTCAAGACATCTCATGTATTTCCCATCATGGATTTATTCATCGGTTCTCTTTGGCAAGGTGGCCCTCTCTTTTCTTTAAAGTACAAAGGAAGTGCTCATGTTATAAAAAAAAAAAAAGTTTAAAAAATCTGGGAAAAGATGTCTGCAGATTTGGGAGACTATGATAGAAGAAAGGAGTGCAGGCAGGGCAGGACTCAAAGGGATGACAATAAAGTTTGTGTGTGAGTCTTACTTCAAACATGTACATGGCTTGATGACTTTGAGAAAAGCACTTTCTATCTTGGCATTTTAGCTCAAATACAACACAATAATTCATAAGATTGTTTTGAAATACCCAGGTGTTGAGACGTATTAAATCGAGTTTTATTACCTTTTTTAAAAAAATTAATACAACGTTGCCTGCTCTGAATAATTGTCATCTCTGCAATTGTCAGAACTGAAGGCAAAGAACAGGGGTCTTTCAGGGTCTTTTTCAAGTGAATTAGCATGAGGGCTTCACAGCTGGCTTGGAAAAGTATTTGAGATAATTTTCTTAAAAATGTAGATTTTATTATTACTTGGGTAATAAGGCCAACATGTCAGGAAACAACTGCACTGACAAGATCATTTGTCATCTAGTTCCCTAGAGGAGGGAGGAAGCTAGGCCGTGCAAGGTCAAGTGGGAAGCCCCAGGATCAGTCAGGAGGCAACTGGAGTAATGGGAAAATGTTGGCAATGTCTTCACTATGGTGTCCATGGGAAAGAACAGGCAAAGAAAGGTAAGAAGCTTAGGGCTGACTGGCTTAAATAATTTCTGTAGGCTCTCGGGCACAGGAGAGGTCTTTAGTTTTCTGAAATCTGGCTTGGGATGACTAGGGCTAGTGGATGGTGGCCCAGAATGTGAGAACCCTGTAAGAGTCCAGTGAGGGAGGTAGCCTGGGTATGGCCGGTTTACATGTAAAAGATGTGCTAACAGATGGAAAGTTGTTTGCTACCTCTAGGAACTGGCTGTCCTTGGGAGAGGCACTCTTTCCAGGAATGGCAAGGACCCAGATGTCAAAGCATCAGAAGCATATGGTTAATGCACTCACTCTGACATCAACTTGCTATAGAGTTCTTTTGCCAACTCACCTGGCTGGGTCATGTTGCAAAATACTCTGCTTTCATCATCCCCATTAATACCTATACTTTGGGTAGGGTGAGGGTGGGAAAGGAGCTAAGGTGTGTATTATGAAAAAGCTTCTATTTATTCACATACTCATTCCTTCATTTAAATACTTACTAATCAACTACGTGTGCCAGGCAGTATTGCCTCCTGAGAGAGCAAGCTTGGCCATGGACCACGCACTGAAATACAGAGAACCTTCATTTGCAGAGCAAAATTGAAGCTACTAGGCTGGTTCTGGGTCATGGACTAATAACAGGGTAACAGGGCAAGTTAGATAAAGAAGAAGAGATAAGCTGTTGAGGACAGAGGACAAGAGGCTGGACAGGAGCTGAGGAGGCCCCAGAGCTGGGGCAGAAGGAACTACAGTGGTAAGTCCGCCCCAAAGGGAAGAGGCTCAGTATGAATAAATCTTGTTTTACAATTGAATTTGAAACCAGTCCTCTTTATTTCACCTTTCTAAAAATAATCTTGTTTTCTAAACTAAGGAAAATAAAACAGGAAGTGGGATGGATCTGACCTGGGCTCCTAATTATGAAAACTTTATGTGGAGAGACAAGGAGAACAGAAAAGGAAGAAGTTAGACACGGATGTATTTTTGAGCTTTGAATCTTTGTAGAAAAATGTATGTTAGAAACCAAAGAAACACATTTTAACATCATATCTCCAGGGGATGGGGGTTTAGCTCAGCGGCAAAGTGCTTGCCTGGCAAGCGCAAGGTCATGAGTTCGATTCCTGGTACCAGAAGAAAAACAAAACAAAACAAAAAGAACGAAAATGTCATATCTCCATATTTCTGAAAGACATTCACCTCCCTTCAAATTACTTCCATGATAGGCCATTCTTTTCTTCCGGTTCTGAAACCACAAGCCACTGTTTTTGTGCATTTCACAATGAAAAAACTGAGTCATGTTAGAGTGTGGGTGAGTGAAAGGTTAGTGGTAAGCTACTTCTCTAGGATATAAAAAGTTGTGTGGAATTTAACTGTCTAAATAATTACACTAAGTCTTAATAACAGGTTCAATTTCAACGGTAGGCCCCCTGGTCTTAATATGGTGAAACAGTACTAACCTAGGCTTGAGGAATAAAACCTAGACCATATCTAACATAATTCAAGCTGTGGTCAAGTAAGAAGTTTAAAAATAACAAAGAGGTGGTGTTCCCCAGGAAGAGGACTATGAAGCTAAACTCCCCGGCAGGAAGTTCATTGAGGAGTCCTCATGGGACCTGTGAGGACTGAGGGAAGTCGGATGGAGCAGAAGAAGATGAGCTGTGTCAGAGTCACAGGAATGGCTCAGCTTATCCCACTAGGATATTCGTACTGACATGTCCAAACTGTGCCAACTCGGAGAGTAGGAGCTGGGCTTTTATACCAAGCATTGATCTCTTGGTGAGGACCACACATAGGAAAACTACATGCACTTGGGCAGGATGTTGGAGACTGGTGGGTGGGACTCAGCTAAGTGTTGTCAGCTGTCAACACACTCAGCAACTCAGGGCAGAGGACTTTTGTTCTACAGAGGCTGGGGGTGATGGGTGAGGCCCACCACAGTATTCACTGCACCTGGCTAGAATGTTTTCTCTTTCAAACTACCACAAGCATGGCATCAACGTATGCAAAAGAATGAGGAAAGGATGAGGTTATTTTATAAAAATAAAACAGCGGCAGCCCCACTGAGTTGAGATTGAGGGAGAAGAAATATCTCTGCTGT